GTGCGATATGATTGGTGCATAGATATCCTGTTGTGCGATATGATTGGTACATAGATATGCTGTAGTGCGATATGATTGGTGCATAGATATGCTGTAGTGCGATGTGATTGGTGCATACATGTACTGTAGTGCAATATGATTGGTGCATACATGTGATGTAGTGCGATGTGATTGGTGCATACATGTGCTGTAGTGCGATGTGATTGGTGCATACATATGCTGTAGTGCGATGTGATTGATGCATGCATGTGCTGTAGTGCGATGTGATTGGTGCATACATATGCTGTAGTGCGATGTGATTGGTGCATGCATGTGCTGTAGTGCGATGTGATTGGTGCATGCATATGCTGTAGTGCGATGTGATTGGTGCATACATATGCTCTAGTGCGATGTGATTGGTGCATACATATGCTCTAGTGCGATGTGATTGGTGCATACATATGCTCTAGTGCGATGTGATTGGTGCATACATATGCTCTAGTGCGATGTGAGTGGTGCATACATGTGCTGTAGTGCGATGTGATTGGTACATACATATGCTGTAGTGCGATATGATTGGTGCATACATATGCTGTAGTGCGATGTGATTGGCGCATACATATGCTGTAGTGGGATGTGATTGGTGCAACGTCGTCGTCGTTACGTACCTTATCGTAGTGGTCGAATACTCTATCGAAGTCCTTCTTCGTCAGAATGGTTTTGCCCTAATGAAAATCAGAGATACCAATCAAAGATGGTGTCACCACAATGCGTCGTTCGTTACGACTACTCTGACATTGGAAGTCCAATCCCAGAAAATTTAATTAGAGAAGTGTCAACGTTAACTCGTGAGTGGGGACATCACGTCAGATCAGTGAGTGACAGAAAGAAGAAAAGATGAAATGAGAGTGTAAAAGAAACGGAAGAAATGTGAAGACGTCGGAACAAAGCAAACACAACTCAGTAATGGAAGCCAAGTTAAATAGACACAGAAAGCCACATAAATGTAGACGCATGCGTACAACAGACATACAAAATTATTAGTAAAATGGCGTAGATATTATTGTATGGATTATTACATATTGAGCATACTCACTGCTTTTCCAGGCTTCAGTGAACCCTGTGTGTAATTTTGAATAGGTCATTTTCAATAGTCAAACTATTTAAACCATGCAATTACGTTTAAGAATAAATAAATAAAACGATGACATTCTCTCAAGCTTGAGAAATATGAGGTAAACGTAACTCAAACGATCTGATCATTTTAATCCATTCAGGGAAAAACAATATAACAAGGCCAAGTTGTTACATTCATCCGAGCTATATGAAAACACAGGCAGTAGCCGAGAAGTCAAGAAGAAGTGGACAGTCCAAAGAGATGTGAAAGAAAATGACAGAAACAAACATTTCTATTGTGTTGGTCAACATAGTCCATGCTTGTATTTTTCGGCGTACTACACATGCCTATATACTTTGCAATGCACACCAGAATGGCCAACTAACTACTATGTGCACTACTACACCAATTCTACCATGTGTGTTAGCGCCCTCCTGCAACTAAGACAGTCACACACTACTGACATGTCAAGCCCATGCTATATCTCAATAGGCTGCAGGCGTACATAGTGTGACCCGAGAAGTCAACACTCATCCAGGTTCAATATGAAATACTTGTTCTTACTCGCTTTTGTGCCATGAGCTCCAGTATACAAAAATGAATATTGATACCACATTAACTCAATGAGTATAACAGTCATTCTCCTAGTTTACGTGACGTTCGTAATTTAGTAATGACGTCAGAATTCAATGCTTTAATGAATTTGTCAAACTATAAGTGCATTCGGTATGACGTCACGTGTAAGTTACGGTATTTCCATTATTTGGTTCGTTTGCAAATACTTCACTATATCCGCATTCATTATTAAGATTGATTTCGATTTACAGACTCTGAATCGTTATCTATAATTCCCCAGCCGGAAGTGTTCTTCGATCACTATTATTTCTTATCTATTCTTAGGCATTACTTGTCATCTTCAACAGTCAAGGGAAACATTTTGTTTCTCCACTGATTTTTCGTATTCATATCACTTACCTCAAATCGCATGAGAAAATTCTCTTGAACTGGGAGAAGTCTGTAAAGCAGTGAAAAAAACAATCATCAAAACACGCCATATAAAGTGGACACAATTTGTTGAACCAAACAATGATGTGAAATGTAGTTTAAATTATTAACAATTTCGCTCACCTTGCCATTTCCTTGATTTCCAGTTTACCATCCTTATTGGAATCAAAATGTTCCAACTACGAAAAGATAAAAATTAATAATAATAAAATAATAGTATTTTATATTTTTATTTCTTTTGAAAATACCCCTTACCATGACAAATACCTGTCTCTAATGAATGTTTCTACTGCCTTGTGAACGAGTGAAAACGTGTGGATGAAAAAAACATGTCACTTACGATAGCCTTAGTATAGTCATCCAATTCTTTGTCTTCAACGTGTGTTTTTTGTTGTGTAAGAAGATCTAACAGAAAATGCTGCAAAATAAATCATTCATTAATTAGTAATACTAGTAGGCCAATTGTCAAGCTCGAAAATATGCCAAGAACGGATTTATTTCTTAATTTTAAATTGTTCCTAGCATGTTCGTAATGCCTCCCTCATTGCCGCCAAAAAATCCTGTCTCGGAGTGTTCATATTAAAATATAGATTATAAGGTTAATGCATGGCACTGCGTGGTGACAGGGATCACTTTACAAAGTGAACTCTATATCGGGTCAACAATATGTACAACTGTACTTGAAAAGTTACCTTGAGCTCAAGTGATTCAATGAAGCCACTTCTGTCGGTGTCGTACTTTCTCCATGCCTTGAACACAAGTGAAAGTGAAATTGTCAAGTTGTTGAATTCACAAAAGACCGTACATTTGGGCTGAAACTTATGTACAAGGCGTAATTTAACACATCGGTCTGATTTGTTTGGTGTTAGAGTTGGATAAAGAATTAGACACTATCCTGTAAAGAGCTACATATTGACTCCAACAAAAGAATAGTTAATCACGTGTAATTACGCAAATTTCTGTCATTGCTCGGGCATCCCAACTACACAATTAAGCAGTTTTCAACAGGTCAATAATCGTGCTTTTTCATCTACTTCCCCTTTGTACTTGTGTACTTTTGCATAATACCGCTGCAGGACTTCATTCATATCCTGTGTTGGTTCATGTTCTACATGCATCTCAGTCAAGTGATGTTTGAGAAAACTTATGAACACCTACCTCCATAAACTCAACGCTTGATCGTAGGGGTTGTTGTGCGCGAAACAGTAGCAAGAAGTTTTCATCGGTTGGCAGGATGTTTGACAACTGAACAAAGTATAAAAGTATAAAAATGAAAAAATAATTCAAAAATACTCTGTTACATATTGTCCAAATTAGTTTTAGTTCAAAAAAGCGTGTCCAGACTGGTTTATGGAATGTGTTCATACACGTAGTTCACATTTGTGGTGGGGATATCTACTACTCAAAATGGCAGAAAGCTCTTGAAGCTTTGATCTCGCGAGAAACCAGTTTGTGAGAAAATCACGCTACACCGGGTAAAGATTCACAATGGAGCATTATTCAGAAAGCATGCGTTTCTGTGCTGTTCGACGTCATAAAAGTAAGAACAGTAATATCCCTATTTTTTAATTTAGTATATTAACACAATTAAGTGAATATATAAGTGTTGAAACGTGTACTCGGCTCTCCGCCATTTTAAAATATGAGTTTTACTTAACAACAAATAATTATGTATGTGATATGGATATATGCAAATACATTGTATATTCATTTGCTTCAATTGACACGTGACACTTACTTCCGTTAAAGAGATTTTTCCATCCTCATTCATGTCATACGCCTCCATAAAACACTTCTTCATCTCTGTTAGCATAGCATCAGAAATTGTCTGGAAAATAAAAAATATATATATATATATATATATATATATATATATATATATATATATATATATTATATTATATTAATCTAATTTATTTTGATGAAATTCGAAAACCCATTAATAAACAATGCTTATGTATA